TTGGATACCTCCAGGACAGAGGGATCACCGTTACCTTTCTGGGGGGTGGGATGACTGCGGTCTGTACGGACGCTGCCACCGGTGCTGTTCTGGCCACGTTCACCAGGGAGCCCCGCTCCGGTCTCTACGTCCTCCACACCGAGCACTCCCCGGTAGCTACGTCCACTCAGGTCGCTGCGTCCCCTCAGGTCGCTGTGTCCGGTCAGGTTGCTATGTATTGCTCCTGTCGGTCCCTCGCCCACCCGACCGTCTTGTGGCACCACCGTCTTGGCCACCCGTCGATCCCCCGCCTCCGCAGCATGGCTAGTCACCGTCTTGTCTCTGGTCTCCCTCGCGTCTTTGCGTCGCTCCCTCCCTCGCCTGCACCACCATGCACTCCTTGCGTCGCCGGCCGTCTGTGCGCCACTCCGCACTCCTCCTCCCTTCGTCCGGCCACAGCTCCCTTCCAGACTCTCCACTTGGATGTCTGGGGCCCTGCCCCTCAGCGCGGACCTGAGAGGGAGCGCTACTTTCTGGTGGTCGTCGATGACTACTCCAGGTACACCATGGTGTTTCCTCTCGCAAAGAAGTCTGAGGTGACTTCTACGCTGATCTGGTGGCTTCTGGCCACTGAGGGCACTCGTGGCAGTCGTGTCTCCTGTCTCCACTCCGACCGTGGGGGCAAGATTTGCTCTGGCATTCTTCGCGAATTCTGCGGCGAACAGGGCATCTCACAGTCCTGGACGCTTCCGGGTCCCCACAGCAGAATGGGGTTGCTGAGCGACGCATTGGCTTGGTCATGGACATCGCCCGCACGTCCATGATCCATGCCCATGCGCCCCATTTTCTGTGGCCCTACGCGCTTCGCTACGCGGTTCGCTACGCCGCCCACCAGCTGAACCTCCAGCCGCGTGTCTCGCGGCCAGAGGCTTCACCGACCAGTCTTTGGACCGGGTCCCCTGGTGTTGGGTCGGCCTTTCGTGTCTGGGGCTGCCTTGCGCTTGTCCGCGACACCTCTGCGGACAAGCTCTCGGCTCGTGCCATCCCCTGTGTCTTCCTTGGTTTCCCGGTGGACTCTCCCGACTACGCCTTTTACCACCCGCCCCTCCAACAGTTCCTCGACTCCCGTGACGTCTGGTTTGACGAGTCTGTGTCCTACTACGCTCGCTACCCCTGTCAAGGTCTCCCGGTTCCCCCCCCTCCCCTTTTCCTCGCACCTCTCCTCCTCCTGCTCCCGCTCCTCCGGTACCCCCACCCCCCCCTGGTCCTGCCCCGTAAGGTGTGTCTCACGCTACCCCTCTACCCTCGGTCGTGCGTCAGGTAGCGTCTCCCTCCCCGCAGTCCTCCTCACAGTCCCCTCAGCAGCCTTCGGCACTTCTGCGACAGGTTACTGTGGACTCAGGGGGTGCTGGAGCTGGAGGTGCTGGCACTGGAGGTGCTAGTTCGGGGGGTGCTAGAGCTGGAGGTGCTGGCACTAGTGGTGCTAGTTCTGGGGGTTCTGGAGCTGGAGGTGCTGGCGCTGGAGGTGCTAGTTCTGGGGGTGCTGGAGCAGGAGGTACTGGCACTGGAGGTGCTAGTTCCGGGAGACTGGAGCTGGAGGCACTACTACTGCGCCTCCCCACCGCCACGAAACACGTCTCTAGGCGGCTCGCCGACGTGAGCGTGAGGAGCAGGAGCGGTTGGAGCAGGAGAGGCAGGAGTTGCGGCAGTTGGACCTGCAGAGGCAGCAGCAGCAGCAGCAGCAGCAGCAGCAGCAGCAGCAGCAGCAGCAGCAGCAGCAGCAGCAGCAGTGGCAGTAGCAGCAGCAGCAGCAGCAGCGTTCGCCGCAGCCGCCACTTTTGCAGCAGCTGTTCCCACCAGTGAGTGGCCTTCGGGACCTTGATCTTCCCTCCTCTCGTCCTGTCCACTCACAGTCTCCTACCGCGTCCGGCCCTACGTTTCCTCCTCCGGACTCGGCTCCGGCTGTTTTCTCTCCTCCTCAGTCACATTCGCCTCCTCCTGTTCTCCCGCACGACTGGACCACTCGTTGTCCTCCGCGTGCTCGTCCCTCGTCTCCTTTTGACGACCTCCGCACTGTCTTGTTTCATTCTAGTCCTCGTCGTGCTCCGCCTGTGTCTGTTCTCCCGCCACCTCCTGCGACGTCTCTCACTGTCTCCTCTCACCCTATCACTAACTACTACCGTGCTGCTCGTCCTGTTGTCTCGCGTGTTCTCGCCTCTCTTGTCACCGATCCTCGTGCCTCTCCGTCGTCTGTCTCGGTTCTTACTGCCACTGTCGCTAACTTTGCTTCCACCCGCCGCCTTGACTTCGCCAGGCGTGTAGTCGCTGCTCCGCCTGCCCATCCTCTGTCCGCCGGGGGTGACTTTGCCCTTGGCTGTGACGTCCTAGAGGATATGCAGTTTGAGCTGGAGTTCTTGGCAGCCGCTTCTCCCTCTCTCTGTGCCATGCTGCTTTCCCCTGAGGGAGACCCCGACGCCCTTGACATTCCGACTCCTCGCACGTACCGTGAGGCAGTGTCAGGGGAGTGGGCATCTCAGTGGAAAGCGCCTATGGACTCTGAATTAGCGTCTTGGAGATCCACAGGCACCTACGTCGACGCAGTTCCCCCTCCCAGGGCGAACATTGTTGATAGCATGTGGCTCTTCAAGGTGAAGCGGCCGTCTGGGTCACCACCTGTGTTCAAGGCGCGCTACGTGGCTAGGGGTTTCAGTCAGCGTGAGGGAGTTGACTTCTTCCAGACCTTCGCCCTGACCCCGAAGATGACTACTCTTCGGGTGTTACTGCACGTAGCAGCACAGCGAGACTACGAGCTGCACTCCCTCGACTTCTCCACTGCGTTTCTCCAGGTCCGCCTACACGAGGAGATCTGGCTGCGGCGTCCTCCTGGCTTCACTGACACCTTCCCACCTGGGACCCAGTGGAGCCTGAGGCGACCAGTCTACGGTCTCCGCCAGTCGCCCCGTGAGTGGCACGACACTCTTCGCTCCACGCTTCGTGACCTTGGGTTTTGTCCTTCTTCTGCCGACCCATCGCTGTTTGTTCGTGCTGGTTCCACTCCTTTCCTTATACTTGTCTACGTCGACGACTTGGTCTTTGCTACAGCGGACAGGGCAGCTCAAGCTGAAATCCGAACTGCAGAAGAGACACACATGCACTGACCTCGGTGAACTGCATCGCTACCTTTGCCTGCAGATCACCAGGGACAGAGCCGCTCGCACCATCACACTGACGCAGTCACACATGGTGCAGCAGGTCCTTCGGCGGTTCGAGTTTCAGTTCTCCACCACCCAGCCCACTCCTCTTGCTGTTGACCACATACTCACTGGCCCCTTTCCCGACGAGCCCTTTGAGTCCAGTGGTCCCTACGCAGAGCTTGTGGGCTGCCTCATGTACCTGATGACTTGTACTCGGCCGGACCTCGCCTTTCCCCTCAGCGTCCTCTCTCGCTTTGTTGCGACTGGGAGACACCGTCCTGTTCACTGGACAGCTGCTGTGAGGGTGGCGAAGTACCTGGCGACTACATCAGGCATGGGGCTTGTGCTTGGAGGGACTCAGCCAGTTGAGTTGACCTGTCACTGCAACTCTTCCTACGCTGACGACGTGGAGACTCAGCGTTCGACTCAGGGTTACTGCTTCAGCCTGGGTGCTGGTGCTGTGTCGTGGAGGTCTACATGGTCGTCGTCTGTGGCTTCGTCCAGTGCAGAGGCAGAGATCTACGCTGGTGCCATGGCGGCACAGGAGCTTCGCTGGTTTACCTTCTTGCTCGCCGACCTTGGTGAGCGGCCTCGCTCTGCACCGACCTTGTACGCTGACAACAAGGCCATGATCCTCCTGTGTCGAGAGCCTCGACTGGAGAGCAGAGTGAAGCACATTGACGTGAGGTACTTTCTCCTGCAAGAGTTGCAGCGACGCGGCCAGGCACGCTTGGACTTTGTGGCCTCAGAGGCCAACACTGCCGACGTCTTCACCAAGGCCTTGGCGCTTGGTGACCACCACAGGTTCTGTGTGCAGCTAGGGCTTGTTGAGGTAGGCCCTCGGTTGCTGTAGTCTTGCTGTTTGCTCTGTTTGTCTTGCTTTTCTATATATCCTAGTGAACTCTTCAACTGGCTTTGTTGCCTCTTGTTTGTGCTTGGAGTGTGTGGTGACTCTGAGCGCCACCATGAGCCTTGTTTTGTTGCTTGCTCTTGACTGGTCTTGTGACCATTTGCTATCACTTGTTTGTTTCCTTGATGTCCCTCACTTAGCCTATGGGGGTGTGTCAAAATATAATATGTGTTGTAGGCCGTAGTGAGGTGCCTTCTAGGGGGTACAATTTCTAGGTTTGCATATTTGTACCCCATCCCTTTCTATTCTACTTATTCCGTTGTGTTCTATTTCTGAGAGAGCGCTTCAAAGACCTCGAGTTGGAGATTCACCAAACCAACATGGAGCACCAGGGCTTGTTCAACATTCGTTGGCTTTCGCGCGGGTAGGCTGTGGCACGGCTGTGCAGGGTGTTCGGGGCAGCGATGGTGATTCTCATGGAGTTTAAGCACAAAACCGCGGCTACATTACAGACGCTGAAGTTTCATTTATGTGCGTACCTTTCAGCCAATCATCTTTTTCCTAAGACATGCCACCCAGGATTTTCGGACACACAGGACACATGAAGAATCCACATGAACACACAGGACTGGAGTCAAAGTCATACTGATTAAGCAAAAACAAGAGGTTCAAAAGAAAGCAAGCAATGCATGCTCCTGATCGGTATCCAAAGCAAGCCAGCAAGTAAGGTGGCATGGCATGCCAGCAGAAGAAACAAAAACAGTCATGCAACACAACTCAGGAGTCGAAAGTGATGGTGACAGAGCAAAAGGGTACTGGTAATAGCCAACACCAAGGCCCCTCATCCATCCATAGTGTTGAACGACTCAAAAGCCGCTTCAACGTGAGGTGAGTCACACATCTGAATTTGTGACTCACGGTAAACGCCAAGGCCAAGATGCCTTTGCCAATGCAAGTGGGTATGTGAGGGGAGAATCCTAGACAACCTTGGGCGGGCTCGGGGGAGGGCGGGGGGGAGGACGAGGCGGAGGGGAAGGAGGCCTCGGGGGTGGGGGCGGGCGAGGAGGACTTGGGGGAGGACGAGGGGGTGGGCGAGGCGGAGGGGACGGGGGCTTGGGGGAGGGTTGGGCGGAGGACGGGGTGGGGGAGATGGAGGTTTGGGGGGCGGTGGTGAGGGGGGTTTTGGAGGGGGATTCGGGGGAGGGCGAGGGGGAGGAGAAGGGGGAGGAGGAGGCTTCGGGGGATTGGGGGGAGGGCGAGGAGGAGGAGACGGGGGTTTCGGGGGGCTTGGAGGGGGCCGGGGAGGGGGAGAAGGATTTGGAGGGGGACGGGGGGGAGGAGAAGGGTTTGGGGGAGGGGGAGAAGGATTTGGGGGGGGACGGGGGGGAGGAGAGGGGTTCGGGGGAGGCCTTGGGGATTCACCAGAGGCGGGGCTTACCTGATGAGGGGATTCACCAGAGGCGGGGATTACCTGATGAGGGGATTCACCAGAGGCGGGGCTTACCTGATGAGGGGATTCACCAGAGGCGGGGCTTACCTGATGAGGGGATTCACCAGAGGCGGGGCTTACTTTTGAGACGTCTCAAAACTCGAGAATGCTTACCTGATGAGGGGATTCACCAGAGGCGGGGCTTACCTGAGGCGGCGTCGGGCAGATAGACCACGTGCACGAGGTTGTGAATGGCAACGGACTCGAGAATGGGGGAGAGGCCGGTGAGCGGGGAGGAGGTGGCGGTGGCAGTTGTGGTGTTGGTGGTGGTGACTGTATCGAATGTGCCTGTAAGGCTGGCCTCTATGGTCCAGCGCACCATGGCTGTAGCGGAAGGGGGGATGCTGCCCACCTGGGGAAGAGAGAGGGGAAGGGAGGTAGACGAGAAGGGGGATGGGGCGAGAAGAAGGGACAGGTCAGGTAAGGAATAAGCAAGTGAGGTGTGGGCGTGACTGTGATTGCGTGTGTGAGTGTCTGTGTGTGTGTGTGTGTGTGTGTGTGTGTGTGTGTGTGTGTGTGTGTGTGTGTGCACACCTGTGTGTGCGTCATGTGTGTGTGCGCCATGTGTGTGTGCGCGTGTGTGTGCATGTGCACCTGCTTGTGTATTCGTGTGTGTGTGTGTGTGTGTGTGTGTGTGTGTGTGTGTGGGTGTGGGTGTATAAGTGTGTGTGTGTGCGTGCATGTGTGTGTGTGTGTGTGGGTGTGTGTGTGTGTGTGTGTGCGCGTGCGTGCGTGCGTCCGTGCGTGCGTGCGTGCGTGTGTGTGTGTGTGTGTGTGTGTGTGTGGATGAATGCACGATGTGTGTTTGCACATCTACAGACACACAACTTCACGAAGAACGATGCCGGTTGTGGCTCGTTTCCCAGCACAGTCTTGATGATGCTCAAACTCATTCGTGTGTGTGTGCCTGGATGTTAGGGTGCGGGCGTGCGTGCACACGTGTGTGTTTGCTGCATGACCACACACCTTCACAGAGAACGATGCTGGCTGCGGCTCAGTGCCCAGCACAGTGCTGGTGATGCTGAAACTCATAGCGGCGCTGCTCGTGTCACCCGTAGTAGTTGTAGCGCCCGCATCAGCAGCGGCGGGTGCGCCGGCAGCTGTGGGTGCGCCGGCAGTGGTGGTGGTGGTGGCAGCAGTGGGCAGCAGTGACTGTGTGGCGACAGCAGCAGCCGTGCCGTGGCCCGAGTTGTGGAAGAGTGCTGCAAGCGTCACTGGAACTGGTGCCTCGACCTGTGGGGAGTTGGGGAGAGAGAAAGAGAGAGAGCAGCAGTGAGTAGGTGTGTGGCGACAGCAGCAGCCGTGCCGTGGCCCGAGTTGTGGAAGAGTGCTGCAAGCGTCACTGGCACCTCCACCTGTGGGTGGTGGGGAGAGAAAAACAAAAAAAGGGGGAGGAGGGATAGAGGGAGTGAAAAGGCAGTGTTTGGAATGAGAGTGCTGCGAGCGTGACTGGCACTGGTGCCTCGACCTTTTGAGGGAGAGTGAGGAGGAAAAAAGGGTGGAGGGTTAGAGGGTGACTGGCATTAGTGCCCCTACCTGTGGTGGGGCGTTGGGGAGAGGAGGGAGGAAGGGAGGAGGGATAGAGGGAGTGAAAGGGGAGAGGGAGGAGTTGTGGAAGAGTGCTGCGAGCGTGGCTGGCATTGGGGCCTCCACCTATTAAGGGGGGAGAAAGAAAGAGAGAAAACGAAAGAGAGGCACCCAAGTCACTGACAAAATCCTTGACACCAGAAACAGCCTTGCCATTTTTTAGGCGCCTCAAAAGCACTGACAGTATCACTAACACCAGAAACAGACTTGCCATTTGCCCCAATCGCCCACACTCACCTGAGGAGTGGTGAGGTCGTCTCCTTGCACGTGCCGGGGCACAAAATAATGCACTTGCAGCTTGGGTGAAGGGACCACCGTCACTCGCACACTCGACAGCTCCACCCTCTTGTTGGAAGATGCTGGTGCTGATGATGATGCAGGCAGGGTGTAGTCCAGGGTGCTGGCGAATTTGAAGTTGGTGGGAGCGGCAGGCGCGGCGCAGTCCAGAGCGAGGAGCAGCCAATCAACGCCCGCTGACGTGGCAGAAGGGAGGGTGCCTGGGGAGAAGGAAAACGGGGAGAAAAACGGGAGAAACGGGGGAGAGAAAAGCAGAGGAAGAGAATGACAAAATATTAGTGCGCCAAGCCAAGTGCCTGAAGATGCTGGTGATGATGATGATGCAGGCAGGGTGTAGTCCAGCGTGCTGGCGAATTTGAAGTTGGTGGGAGCGGCAGGCGCGGCGCAATCCAGCGCGAGGAGCAGCCAATCAACGCCCGCTGAGGTGGCAGAAGGGAGGGTGCCTGGGGAGAAGGAAAACGGGGAGAAAAACGGGAGAAACGGGGGAGAGAAAAGCAGAGGAAGAGAATGACAAAATATTAGTGACCAGGTGCCTGAAGATGCTGACGTGGATGATGATGCAGGCAAGGTGTAGTCTAGGGTGCTGGCGAATTTGAAGTTGGTGGGAGCGGCAGGCGCGGCGCAGTCCAGAGCGAGGAGCAGCCAATCAACGCCCGCTGACGTGGCAGAAGGGAGGGTGCCTGGGGAGAAGGAAAAAGGGGAGAAAAAAGGGAGAAACGAGGAAGAGAAAAACAAGGGAAGAGAATGACAACGAGGAAGTGCCTGAAGATGCTCATGCTGTCGCAGAAATTGTGGCTTCAATTCACGAGCGGATTGATCTAGCCGCATAACCAGAGCTTGTGGGCGCTCGAGTGGGTGTGGACAAAAATCCTGGAGGAGGATATTTGTCGACGCTAGTTTACGAGGTAGAGGCGAAGGCAGCAGCAGTTACGACATGCAAGGAAGCCGATGTGACAAAGGACATGACTTTTGTGGTGCAGGGCATGAAGAATGACAACGACTCCAACGTCTGACAAGGAAGCACTGGTTGGGATTGCGGTGGGAAATCTGGACGTGGGGGCAGTTTGATTGTTGGTGCCAAAATGGAATAGAGCTGCTAGTATTGTGAGAACGAGATGCCAGTCAGCACCAGCAGAGGTGGCAGTCTCACCTGCACCACTGGCTTTTGAGGCGCCTCAAAGGTGGCAGTCTCTCACCTGCACCGCTGGCATCATAAACCTTAGCAGTGGCAGGTCGCTGAAGGCGAACCAACGCAATGAGCATATGGTGCATCCATGTGACTATTATCAACCCACTGGTGGTACCACTCTCACCTGCACCGCTGACGTCGTCAATCCCCTGCAGCAGCGGGTCGCTGAAGACGAAGCAGCGGGAGGCGTCGGTGCCGTTGGGGTAGGTGATGCGTGCCGTCACTGCCACGTCAGCCATGGGCGAATCTTCCATGTTGGACAGGTACACGTGTGCACGCACCTGCAGAGAGAGGAGGGGAGCGGAGGGGAGGTAAGGGGGCGGGGGAAGAGGGACGGAGGGGACATGGGGAGTAAGGCAGTTGTTGTGAGTGGCTAATCAAACACCCATGCGATGATCCTTCATGAAAGAAACATACACCTGCACGTGCACCCATGAATGGGAACAAGGGGGACAGCTCCGATAATGCCGCCACCCCCCCGACGGTTCCGGTGGTTCCAGTGGTTCCGGTGGTTCCAGTGGCTCCAGTGGTTCCGGTGGTGGCAAGAGCATCCCGAGATGAGAAAGAGAGTTGGCTGTTCCGATAGCACTGCTAATGCACACAGACCTAGGTGCCAGCACTGCTAATGCACACAGACCTAGGTGCCAGCACGCCCCACTTCCCTCACCACGGGTCGACTGGCAACAATGCGGCGACACTCCACAAAGGATTGTGGCCCCGAGGAGGTGGTGGCGGTGAAGCGGAACTCCACCGTGCCACGCGTGGCATCAGGTGACAACGTTGCCCTGTCTGTCAGCACCGCCAGTGCACACAGACCTGGGTGGGTGGGTGTCAGCACGCCCTACTTCACTCACCACGGGGCGGGAAGCAACGATGCGGCGGCGTCCCACAAAGGATTGTGGCCCCGAGGAGGTGGCGGCGGTGAAGCGGAACTCCACTGTGCCGCGTGTGGCATCAGGTGACAGCTCTGACAGCACTGCTAATGGCACGCGCGCGCGACTGTCACCTGGGCTGGGTGACAATACCCAGGGACAGCTCTGACAACACCGTTAATGCACACAAACAGACCTGTCACCTGGGTGCCAGCACGCCCCACTCCACTCACCACGGGTCGACTGGCAACGATGCGGCGCTGCCCCACGAAGGACTGAGGCCCCGAGGAGGTGGCGGCGGAGAAACGGAACTCCACCGTGCCACGTGTGGCATCAGGAGACAGCTCCGATAGCACCGCTAATGGCATGCGCGACTGTCACCTGGGCTGGGTGACAACACCCAGGGACAGCTCTGACAGCACCGCTAATGCACACAAACAGACCTGTCACCTGGGTGCCAGCACGCCCCACTCCACTCACCACGGGGCGGGAAGCAACAATGCGGCGGTGCCCCACAAAGGACTGAGGCCCCGAGGCAGTGGCGGCGGAGAAACGGAACTCCACCGTGCCGCGAGTGGCGTCGGGAGACAGCTCCGATAGCACCGCCGCCCCTCCCGTTGTTCCGGTGGTGGAAAGAGCATCCGGAGATGAGAGAAACGGGTCAGTGAGGGTGGTGGTGGTGGTGGTGGCGGTGGCAGCGGTGGGTGTGGGTGTGGGTGCGGTGGTGGTGAAGAGGGAGAGGTCTGTTTCGTTGGAGTAGGCAAAGGCACTCGTCAGCTCTGCCGTTATGTTGGTCGTTTCCAGGAAAGTTCCTGAGAGGAGGCGGGAGGCAGAGGAGGGTTGGCGAGGGAGGGGGGAAAGGGTAGAGGGTGAGACTGATGCTTGATGCATGTCAGTATGGGTGAGTGTGTGTGTGTGTGTGTGTGTGTGTGTGTGTGTGTGTGTGTGTGTGTGTGTGTGTGTGTGTGTGTGTGTGTGTGTTGTTTTCTGGCTCCAATCTAACAAACTGCTATCACATAACAACCACCCTCTCAGCTCTCACCTCCCACGAAGCTGAGCTGGTGAATAATATGCCGCTCGCTCGCCATGTCAATTCATGCATAGCATGTCACTCACTCTCACTCTTTCAAGTTATAATCACAGCACCTCGCCCCCTCTCTCTCACCTCCCACGAAGCTGAGCTGGTGAATAATATGCCGCTCACTCCCCATGTCAATTCATCCATAGCATGTCCCTCACTCTCACTCGCCCTTTTTTAGTCCGACCAAAGTATCACTCTCACGCTCTCATGTTCGCGTCACCTCTTCCTGTTTCTCACCTCCCACGAAGCTGAGCTGGTGGATGATGTGGCGCTCGCTCGCCATGTCCTGCCCCCACCACGTGCCAGCTGTGAACCCCACGGACGCTGACGTGGCGCCGAGGATGGTTTCAATGTCCACGTGGGCAGTGAGCGCTGGTACACCTGGCTTGACTTTGGACGATCCCCCCAGGAACACGTTGAGGGTCTGAGAGGCCCCCTCGTAGCTCACCCAGGCGTACTGCTGAGTGTTGCGGGGGAAGGCCTGGCAGGAGGGAGGGGAGGGCAGGGAGGGAGGGGAGGGAGGGGAGGGCAGGGAGGGAGGGAGGGAGGGGAGGGCAGGGAGGGGAGGGCAGGGAGGGGAGGGAAGTGGTGCAGTGAGCGCTGGTACACCTGGCTTGACCTTGGACGATCCCCCCAGGAACACGTTGAGGGTCTGAGAGGCACCCTCGTAGCTCACCCAAGCGTACTGCTGGGCGTTGCGAGGGAAGGCCTGGCGGAAGGGAGGAAGGGAGGGAGGGACAGGGCAGGGGAAGGAGAGAAAGAGGGCGTTAAACGATCAGGATTCCTACGACGTCTCACTAGGCGAGCAAACCCTTTAAAAGGTAAAAGGAGTGACTTTGGGGACAATTCGGAGTCAGGATGTAAAGACGTCTCAAAGCAAGGCGAGCCCACCTTCTCTGGGGGAAGAACGGTGTAGAACTCTGCACCAGCGCATCCATCTCCTGCCAGGACTCCCTTAGAGGAGACGGCTATACAGGGTACAGGGCACAGGCGAAACTCCACTGCCACACTCTTGAGGAACGCCGCTCCGGCCGACCCGTAGCCCAGGGAACTGCAAACGAGAGAGAGAAGCGTGACAGCAAGTAGGGGGATAGGGGATGGAGGTTGCTGTGCTACTGCAACTGCCACACTCTTGAGGAACGCCGCTCCGGCCGACTCATAGCCCAGGGAACTGCGAGTGGAGTAGAGAAGAAGATGCCGGCAAGAGGAGGAACGGGGAATCGAGACAGCTTTATAAGGCACAGGGCAGAGGGTGCGGGGCACAGGTGAAACTCCACCATTACACTCTTAAGGAATGCCCTTCCTGCTGACCCGTAGTCCAGGGAACTGCAAAAGGAAAGAGAGGGGGAAAGAGAAAGAGAGAAGCATGAAGTGGAGCAGGAGAAAAGGAGAGTGAGACAGCAATGCAAGGCATGGGTCGTAGTCAGAACCTATTTTTACCCTGTACCATCCATCCCAACCGGTACCTTCACAGCTCAGCACTAGCCAGCACCGGCCAGCTCCACCAAGCACCCCTCTACACCTACACTTAACCAATCAGCACCACCCAGCACCGCACAGCACCTTGCGTTTTGTGGTCCGACAGCAGTTACTGGGCCACTGGTGAGCACAAAGGTGAATCCTCGACCCGTGACCTGGGGGATGGGAGAAGCAGAAGAACGAGAGGTCAAGGGAGAGAGAGAGGTTAAAACAGGGGGAGAGGACGCAAAGGTGCAGGATTGCAAGGGAGGTCAAGGGTGCCATAGTGAAAGAGAATCTCACTGTGATAGCAGTGGCGGTGCACACCCATTGTGAGGGAATGTGAAAGAAGGTCAAGGGAGAGAACGCGAAGGTGCAAGATTGCAAGGGTGCCATAGTGAAAGAGAATCTCACTGTGATAGCAGCAGCAGCGCACACATTGTCAGCAAAAGTGAAGGAAAAGGCAGCATAAAGGTGAGAGGTGTAAGTCAGCAAGGAAGGTGAAGGAAAAGGCGGCTTCAAAGGCGAGAAGTGTGTGACGTGAAAGCGTGAAAGCGTGAAAGCGTACACGGGTGCTATAGTGTAGCAAGGCAAGGGTGGGAGGATGCAAGGGTGGGAGGATGCAAGGGTGCAAGGGTAACTCACCGGGGTGACAGGACACGCGTCAGCAAGGAAGGTGAAGGAGAAGGCGGCTTCAAAGGCGGAGGAGCGGGCGGAGGGGGTGAGGAGGGAGAGGGGCGCGAGGGAGAGCGCAGAGCCGACAGAATCGTACGAGTCGAGCCAGAGCAGGAAGAGCGGCGCCGGGCCCAGCTGGGTGTAGCCGTTGAGGTCAAAGGGGGTGGAGCCGGCAAAGCCGACGCAGTTGAGCGAGGAGGCGGTGGTTTCGCAGGTGGGCGCCTGTGTGGGCTGCGCTCCTGGCAAGAACCCCGGGGCGACTGGGGGAGTTGGAGGTTGGTAAAGATACGGGGCAAAGGAAAAAAATATGTGAAGATCAGTTCTGTGTGGGCTGCGCTCCTGGTAGGAACCCCGGGGCGACTGGGGGAGTTGGAGGTTGGTAAAGATACGGGGCAAAGGAAAAAAATATGTGAAGATCAGTTCTGTGTGGGCTGCGCTCCTGGTAGGAACCCCAGGGGCGACTGGGAGATTCCAGAAGGGGAAATGGGCATTGGGGCAGCAGACGGATTTTAAGGAAACAAGGCTGGAAAGTAAGCCAAAAAGTGGAAATGTAGCTGATTTTTGGGGCAAGCGTATCCTACCTACCTCCTTGGCAACTAAAGGACATCGTCCAGACTGCAGCTCGCCTAACAAGCTTCTGTGGCTTGGCATCTACAGGACATTATCCAGCTAGATTCCTGAGTCAACTAAAAAAATCGTGTCCTCCTACGTCCGCTAGATTCCTACGTCACTGTGTGGCATTTATTTATAATTTCCAGCTAGCTCACCAGTGTTGAAGGTGAAGGAGTGGATAAGGTGGTGGTCGTCCGTGCTTTGAACAAGACTCAAAATTCAAGGTTTTCTAAGTCATTAGCGTACAGAAATCCTCGTCAGCTCACCGGTGTTGAAGGTGAAGGAGTGGATGAGGTGGTGGTCGTCCGTGTCGCCACATCCCCACCACCACGTGCCAGCTGTGAACCCCACAGACGCTGACGTGGCACCAATGACAGCCACGAGATCAAGCGACGCCCTCAGCACCGGTTCCTCGGGCTTTAAGCCGTCGCTGCCGCCCAGATAGACCTCGAGTGACTGGGATGTGCCGTCGTATGCCACCCACGCGTGCTGCCTCTCGCTCAGTGCAATCTCCTGCATCAAATGGCGATTTAGACACAAACTCATATTTGAGAAATGCGATTTTCATCCAACAAAATCTTATACACGAGAGGGTAAGGAACAGTGGGTGGGGAGTGAGGGATCCAGGTTGATAGTGAAGCGGCTTCAGATGCGCTGTCGTATCGTAAAACGACCGCAGCTTCACCGCCACACTGCTTTAGAACCGCTTTTTACTGCACTGAACGGACCTGATTTCCTGTGAGGCCGGTCATCTGATCGGCAGCAGCGCAGTTGTCGCCTGAAGCCACGCCGTTCACCACCACAGCCACACACGAGGTGGGTCCCGATCGCAACTCCACTGGAACACTCCCTTCGAACAGCATTTCACCACACTAAACTGTTATTCATTGCTCAGAACCACACTTCACCACACTCAAGGGTCCTGATCGCACCTCCACCGCCACACTCCCGTTGAACCGCACTGCACCGCAGTTCACCGCTCCTAACTGACCTGATTTCCTGTGAGCCCCGTCATGTGGTCAGCAGCAGCGCAGTTGTCGCCTGAAGCAACGCCATTCACCACCACAGCCACACACGAGGTGGGCCCCGACCGCACCTCCACTGCCACACTCCCACTCGACCGCACCTCACCGCACTGAAGCGCACTTCAACACACTGAACCACACTTCACCGCACTGAACCGACCTGATTTCCAGTGAGGCCGGTCATGTGGTCAGCAGCAGCGCAGTTGTCACCTGAAGCCACACCGTTCACCACCACAGCTACACACGAGGTGGGCCCCGACCGTAGCTCCACTGCCACACTCCCGTTGAACGCCCCTGGCGCCGCTCCCCCGTACCCTATGGCTCTGAGAGTGGGGTGGGGTAGGGGAGCGGTGGAGATAGGGAGGAGAAAGTGGGGATTGTGAGGCGCAGTAGGGATGGCAGGCAGGACTCCTGAACCACTGGAGAGTGGAGGTTTTTTTTTTTTTTTTTTTTTTACCCTAAACCCATTTTTTTTCGCTAGTAATAATTTCATGCTACGCCTCCGCAACTCACTTACCCCATGTCGCTGGACCCGCATGCAGTCTTGTCACCGCTGCTAATGACAAAAGTCAAGCCCCTGCTGCCCCGGTAACCATACGACGTCTCCGTCCACACCGAGAACGCAAACGCTGCCTCAAACGCCACTGCTGCCGCTGTCGCCGCTGGGTCTACTCCGGCAGTCGCTGCTGACGTGGACGAATCCAGCGAGAGCGCCATGTCAGCGAGCGTGAGAGCACTGCCAGCGGTGCCGCCGGTGTCGAGGACGAGGGGGAAGGAGGGGGCGGGCCCCACGTGGGCATAGCCGTTGAGGCGGAAGGCTGAGTGGCCCGCAAAGCCCAAACAGGTGAGACGCGTGTTGGAGGGGGCGAGGTGGCACGTGGTGGGCGCAGGGGAGGGCGGCAGCGACTGCTGGGACCCGGGGGGGACTGGGGGGAGGGAGGGACGGACAAGGGAAAGAGATGGAAAAGTTTTATCAGAAGTCACCTTCGCGCTGAGAGCCAGACAGATGGTAAACAAAGACATGAAAAGAGGACGCCCCACCAAATGGTCCTACAGGTGCGCCTTCCTCCAAGGCAGAGTCCCTACTAACGACAATAATAAGAATAATAGTAGTAATAACAATAATAGTAATATAAAAAATAGTACTAGTAGTAATATTGTTAATAATAATAATAAATCCTACCAGCTTGGAAGGAGAGGAAGTAGATTATGTGGTTACGAGCATATATATTATAATTTATATAATATGATGTGTTGCATTGCATATATAATGTATATATCATATATATAGAACATCTTACCAGCCTGGAAGGAGAGGGAGTGGATGATGTGGTCTTCAAGGTCGTCCACCCACGTCCACCACGACGCGCCTGTGAAGCCAACCGACACCGACAGCCCCGCCGTGCCGCCCAGCACGGGCGCCACATCGACGGGCGCCACCAGCACGGGCGCCGAGGGCTTGCTGGCCGCGCCGGGTGACACAAACACCTGCAGCGCGCCGCTGCTGCCGTCGTAACTCAACCACACGTGCTGCGCCTCGTTCAGCGTGAACGCCTGGGGGAGTGGGGGAGCGAGGAATGGAGGGAACAGAGGAGCCAGAGGAGCAGGGAATGGGGGTTTCAGGAAAACGGGGCTTGTTGTTGTTGGGTGGGACACCTCGACTGCTAACTAACCACTGGAATTTAAAGACGATACATGTACATAAGGTTCCAAGGATCCTCACTCATGGGGAAGAGCTGCAAGACGGAGTCCGTTTAGCACTAGGATCAAAGGCGTGTAAGATCGTCTACTCGACAGCTAATCATGGGGCTTCAAAGACGTAGCCCCAGGATGATATGCACGTGACATCCCCTTTACCGGGGTTGACTTAGACAGGCTATGATCATGGTGCACAGTGGGAATTGAACTCGAGACCTTCTTTGTCGAGTGAGCCTAGCAACTTTCTTAAATAAATCGTAGGGGCATTAAAAAAGGGGGCGTTACCAGACAGGTGACACCCTCACTCGAGCAAGCTTTACCCCGGGAGGAGTTACCGTAGCAGGTCTAACCTGAACAGGCAGGCGGCGCTACCTGAGCATCTTTCACCGGAACAGGCGCTACCTAAGCAGGTCTGACCTGGCTGGGCGGCAGCAGCGCCATGGCATCGGAGTCGGCACAGTTGTCGCCGGCCACCTGCCCGCCCACCACCACCGCCACACACGCCGTCGGCCGCGCCCTCAGCTCCACCGCTATGCTCTTTGCAAAGGACGCGTTGGGAGCTGATCCATAGCCTATGTTGCTGGTGGGTAATGGGAGAGCAGCAAGGGGCAGGAGTGAGGGTCCTGTTGACGGGCCGCACTCTCAGCTCCACCGCTATGCTCCGCGCGAAGGACGCGTTGGGGGCTGATCCGTAGCCGATGGCGCTGGTTGGAAGAGGGGGAAGGGGGGGGGGAGGGGTGTGGATGGGAAGAGGGGGTGGAAGAAGGGAATCAGAGGGTAGGAACGTGGCGGCAGAGGGAAGATTCGGGGCAATTCGAGAGCTGTGTTGGGAGCTGTGACACGGATCAGTACTACCACACCCAAGTCCTCCCCACCGCTTCTAACCTGGCGGAGCTGCACCTGCACGCGGTCTTCTCCCCGGCAGTGAGCACAAACGCCAGCCCTTCACTGCTCATAATCTGAAGCACATCAGGAGGTATGACCACACCACATCCCACCACTCTCCACCGCTTCTCACCTGCCGGAGCTGCGGCCACAGGCGGTCTTCTCCCCGGCAGTGAGCACAAACGCCAGCCCTCGACTGCCCCAGCTGTTGTAATCCGCACTCGCCGCAAACGAAAACGAAAACGCGGCCTCAAAAGCCACCGCTCCCGCCTCGGTGCCGAGGCTGAGGCTGAGGCTCGGGATGGAGAAGGCACAGCCGGCAGCATTGGTGGTGGTGTCAAGCCAGATGGGGAAGTTCGGTCCGGGCCCGATCTGAGCATCCCCGGAAAGAACAAAGAAGGGCGAGGAGAGACCAGGAGAAGAAGAGGAAGAGGAGAATCCGACACACGAGATGCTGGTGGCAGTGACGTTGCAGGGGGCAGGGGAAGAGGATGCGGACGGGGCAGGGGCAGGGGCGGCGGAGGCAGAGAGAGCACCAGTGCCGGAGCCGGCATCGACAGAGGCGACTGAGTAGAGACCGCCGCCAGCAGCGGAGGGGTCTGTGGCTCCAAATGAAGCTACTGTTGCACTGCTGATATCGGCCGAGCGGGGGAGACGTGATGCGGTGCTGGTAACATCAACAGTGGCAGCAGCGGTAGTGTCAGCTGTAGCACCAGCTGTAGCACCGGCTGTAGCATCGGCTGTAGCATCGGCTGTAGCGCCGGCTGTAGCGCCAGCTGTAGCGCCGGCTGTAGCGACAGCAGAGAGGAATTTGAAGTTAAACGAGTCAACGGTCTGAATGAGCTCCCCTCCGGCGACCACCCCCGCTGCTGCCAGCTCGGCTGTATCCACTGCTGCCGACCCTCCCGTGAACCCCACAAACAGACAACCGCCGCCGCCCACCGCCGCCTCGCCAATGCCGTCTGGGCAGCTGCCGTCTGGTGCCAAGCCGAGCACCCGAGGCAGGTCGACGGGCTCGGAGAGCACCGGAGCTGCAGGCTTAGTGGGGGAGGAGCCGCTGAGGAAGAGGCGGAGGGTGGTGCTAGAGGCGTCGTAGTCCACCCAGGCGTGCTGCTGCACCCCTGGTACCAGCAGCTGGGGGGAGGGGGGGAGAGGGGGATGGGGAAGATGAGGGCAGGGGGATGGGATTGGGGATGAGACATCATAGTCCACCCACGCGTGGGGAGTGCTGCTCCACTCCCAGGACCAGCGGCTGTGGGGTGCGGTGGGGGGGAGAAGAGAGCACATTCGGTGTGGCACACACACACACACACACACACACACGGAATGTGTGCGGCACAGAGGCAAATGGTTTGAGGCGCCTCAAAAGGCACATGGGTTGGGTGCGACGCGACGCGACCTTCCCTGCTTCCTTGCACACTCAACGACGCACAGGCGGATGCGGTGCGTCAGGCGACGAGGAATTTCTCAACAGTGTCAGTCAGGCGGTGCAATGCAATGCAAGACTTATTACCGTGTGTGTGTCACACTATTGGAATTTCTCAGCAGTGTTTCACAAACACACACGTACGTACGCGGGTTGCTGGTTGCGGGTTGCGACCCTCCTCCCTGACTTACATGGGGTGCGTCTGGCGACGAGGGGTTGAGATCCGCCCATCCGGCAGTGCCGTCCGCCTTGCCGCCCAGAAGCATGAAGGAATATATTAGAGAGCGTAGCGATAGCGAGAGAGTCTCTGCTATGGGAATGATGTTGCGCCAGCAACTTGGTAGAGTTTTGGTAGCGTTTGCCTCTAAGGACTTTGTTGCGTGGCGCTGCGAGTAACCCAACCCACACGAAAGTGCTGTGCAGGTGGGTGAACGCGCCCCGCACATTTCCAACCCAACTCGGCACCGGAATGTCTCACCGTGCACGCTACTCCTGCCAACACAGCAAGTGAGCAGCGTGCCTCACAAGCAAGGCACCTACGACCCCCAAGACTCGTCATTCCTAGCACCGATTCCGCCGAGTTCGCTGCAGTAGCTCACAGTCACCCGTAGTCACTAATGACCGCCACCGAACTCGTGCGTCGGTGCCGAGTAGACTCAGTCGTTAGGCGCCGACCTGCCAAGTCAAAGGTCATCGAGGGCCCTTGCTGTCGTAGGGCCCTCTAACAAAGCACGCCGGCAGAGATGGGCGGGCGGCCGCTCAGCACCACTGCCACGCTGGCATCGAAGGCGGCGCCGCCGTAGCCGGCAAGGCTGGGGGGAAGGGGGGGGAGGACGCAGGGAGGGGGGTGGCGTGGAGGGGGGTTGGGTGGGAGCGGGATGGCGGGAAAGGGGAAAGGAAGAGGGAAGGCGGGAGGCAGGGGTTGGAGAAAGGGGGGGAGAAACAGGTGGGGTGGAGAGGAGGTATCAACCAAGAAAAATCCTAAGTGGGTGGGGGAGCGCATGAGAGAACGCATTGGGGAGCGCACGGAGGAGCGCACGGGGGAGCGCACGGGGGAGCGCACGGGGGAGCGCACGGAGGAGCGCACGGGGGAGCGCATGGATGAGCGCGCGGGGGGGCACACGGGGAGCGCTTGGGAGGGAGGGCAAGATCAGATACGGGGACACGGCGTGCTTGACTCGACCCCACAGGCCGGGCGTGAGGGGGGAGGCGGGGAAGCGGGGAAAAAAATGTCAATGGGGGGAGGCGGGGAAAGGGGAGACAATGGCGGAAGGCGGAGAAGAGGTGATAAGAGCGACAATGGGGAAATTTGTATCTCACCTGGGCGATCCGACGGCGGTGTTGGTTCCGCCAATCATGACGAAAGCAAGCCCCGTTGCCACGTCAGCCTCGTTCTGCCCCTCCAGCTGGAACGTGAAGCGCGCCGAGAAGGAGCCTCCACCGCCGAGCGGAGGCGAGAGCGCGGCGGTAGTGAATGCGGAACCCGCGGATCCCTTATCCGCGGTTCCGCCCGCGCCCAGGACGAGCGCGTTTTCACGGCCTGCGCCCGCGATGTACGCTTGCGCATTGAGCGCGAATGCGCGGCCCGCGAAGCCCGCCGGGCAGGATACTGCCGACGCGGAGACGGTACATCCGGTGGAGGCCGCATCTGCCCCCTGGGCAATCGCTGGAGTGACTAATAGTGCGGCGAACAGTAACGAGGAGAACAGTATCGCGGACATCATCGAGGTGAAGGGCGTGGCGGCGGAAGCGCGGGCGGAAGCGTGGGCGGAAGCGCGGGCGGATGCGCGGGTGGAAGCGCGGGCGGAAGCGTGGGCGGAAGCGGGGTAAAGGGTCCGCAGGGGATGGGCGGAAGGAGAACTTGGCGGGAAGCGCGTACGCGCGCCAGTGGCGCCGGGAACCATCGCGGATCTCCTACTATCAGCGGAGATCCTGGCGGAGCGTCCGCGGGGATGAGAAGCCCCCATGCGCGCGTCTATCACTGCGACAGCATGGGACTCTGCATTTCTGCCTACAACTGCGAGAATGTGGCGAGGTGAGGGAAACCACGAGCTGGATTTCCTGAATGCTGATACGAGCTGCTGTGCACTGCTGTGCTCCCTCGGAGTTTCCTTTCTTTCCTGCCTGCCTGTCTCCCCTCAGCATTTCCTTGATGTGCAGCTTTTGTTGGTTGCGCTTACCCTGCCCGTTTGGAAATCTAAATTATCTGACAAGATTCCACACGCCATAGCTGGGCTGTCGGTGGGCAATTCCCTTCACCTGGTGTTGTCTGTGCATTTTCGACACTACCCAAAACTGCCCGGAGTCTAAACGAAACGAAACGTACGGAGTGTACTGTAGCGAGATATTAGGTACAGCTCGGTACAAAGACGCTTTGTTGGGGTGAAGTGAGGCAGCGGGTGCCAGACTGGTTGGAACAATTACATCGCAAAGCAACTGTAGGTTCCCACCTGGGCTGTTGACTGGGGGTGTGGTCGGAGGCTACACCACGTGTGTCTGTACACATGGAAATTGTTCTCTCCGTGGAGACCAGTTACAAAAATCTCGAGAGATCCTGGACGGAGATTTCCTTCAAGCTCAGGGATATGGCCGTTCTTTGTGTGGTTGGAAATTACTGTAATGTGTCTGTTTCAGTACCGAAGGGTTGGAGATGTGGAATTGGGGACACTTGCGGAGCTTACTCATACAGTACCATACTTTCATGTCGTGGACTTTCCACCTCCGATATTCAAGGAAGTAGATGGGAATAGCCGTCCGTTGAGACTTTCTCGGGTAATTGGCCATCACTAATGCCGCTTGAGGTTGGTGTGACATCATAGGCGGTTCGGACTGCTCTACATACAGTGAATGCAAGCGTCAGCATGGACACCTGACGGTAACCGAAGCCCCTGAACCTGAGCGAAAACTCTCCACCAAATTGATCGCATTGTTACAGGTGGTAGGTGATGCAGCTGTAACATATCAATCACTGCTTTATTCAGTTGGGATAGAAACAAAAATTGGTGTGAACTAACAAGCTCATATTCAAGTAGCCTTTTGAGCCTTTCTAGTGGTTTTGGAGCTACCTCCTGGACCGCCTGTCCTACGTGCCGCTGTTCCGAGCTTGAGTGCCCATAAAGGCGTGCAATTAGATGCATATCCATAGTCGTAAAACAGCTCCTTCCCAGATTCGATTCTTTCTCCAGCAAAAATTGCAACTCGATGATCACCACCAGACATAATGACCTGAAGAAACCGCACCGCACATGCAAAAGAAAACATTCATAATGCGTAAGAAAGATGCGGCTTCAGAGCAAACTGAATGGGGTTTCCAGGTTTATAAAATCACACTCACCCTGGCATGGCAGTTTGGCGAGAGCGAATGGTTGGCGAATTTAAGCTTGTTGCCTCGACGGAACGCATCCAGCACATACTGGAAGAAGGGGGAAAATTGTTTGGGATTGGGGATGGGGGCACGGGGGGGGTTGGAAAAAGGAATGGATACTTAGTGGGAATACATTTCAGAAAAACTCCACTGGAAAAAATGCCAGAAAGACTCGATAGTTACAACGCGTCAACTGACCTTTTTGTTGAGATCGAACAGGAAGGAGCAGTTGATGCGGTCGTATATCTTGCCCCTCCTCTCCGCCTCCGCCTCCGAAATGAGCTCGCCTGTGTACTCCCCCACGTAGTCGTTCTTCGCCACCTCCTTCTGCACCGCACAGCACCACATGTTACCACACATCATCGCATAGCACGACATGGGAGAGCACAGTGTGAGCAAATGAATGTGTCTGTTGTGAGCTCGCATGTGCACTCCTCACCACCCTCACTCTCACCCGACTCATGAATCGCACATTACCGCACCACACCGCATAGCATGGGGCAGCGCACAACACCACAGAGCAGGGGAGTGTAGCACCACGCAGCAGCACATCACATATCAAACTTTCCAGTGGCACTTATGTTGATTCAGATGACTCATAGATGTCGCGTCGACTCAAAAACCACACAGCAGCACATCACATATTTATCTTTCCAGTGGCACTTGTGTTGATTCGGATGACTCAAAGATGTCGATTCAAGAATGTCATTTCAAATTTTGCTGCAGGTCATTTGTGCAAACACGAGGACGACACCATATCCCACCATGCTCTACCTTGTCGTTGCAGGGATTTTCTTTTTTATTCTAAAAAAAACTCTCCAACACGAGGACGACACCATATCACACCATATGCTCTACCTTGCCATGCCATGCTACAACATACCATACCAACATACCACACAGTACCATACCAAACTACACAATACCATACCGTACTGCACCGTACCGTACCATACCATGCTGCACCATGCCATACCACACCTGTCCTGTGCAGGAACGAAAGGCCTCTCACCTTGAGAAAGGCACCCCAGCCAGCCACGTCCGAGGGGCCCAGGAGAATCTGCAGGCAGGGAGGAGGGGGGGGGGGGGGGGAGACGACGTTACAGGGGTGGGGAGGTGGGAGGAGAGGAGGTTACAGGAGATTTTGAGGCGACTCAAAACTCGTCACCTTGAGAAAGGCACCCCAGCCAGCCACGTCCGAGGGGCCCAGGAGAATCTGCAGGCAGGTAGAGGGGAGGTGACCAGGTTACAGGGGCAGGTAGGGGGAAGGAGAAGAGGTTACAAGGCAGGTAAGGGGGGGAGACGAGGTTGAAGGCGAGTTTTAATGAGCCTCAAAACTCGTCCCCTCGAGAAAGGCACCCCAGCCAGCCACGTCCGAGGGGCCCAGGAGAATCTGCAGGCAGGTGGAGGGGAGGAGACCAGGTTACAGGGGGGGAAGGGGAAGGGGGAGGAGATGAGGTTACAGGGGAGGAGGAGGGAATTAGGGTACAGGGGGGGGGGGGGGTGCGAGGAAACGAGTTTACAAAGGTGGAAAGGGGGAGGGGACGAGGGTGAGGGGGGGAGAGAAAGGGGGTTGGAATTTGCCAAGGGGCACTCACGTGCTGGTGCTGAGCTGACACAAGGGATTGGGTAATACATACGGCCCACTCACGTGCTGAGCTGACACAAGGGATTGGGTGATACAGACGGCTCACTCACGTGCTGGTGCTGGCGCAGCAGCAGTCGCATGTTGTGGCAGTCGTAGTTTTTCTCCCTCACAGGCGGTGGCAGCGGCAGCACAGCCCCCTCACGGTTATCCCCGCAGCTGCCACAGACAGGCAGGGAACAATGGCACCCCAACATTGTAACAAGGTCAGGGTCGCACTCCCTGGACGAAGCAAAGCAGGGGCAGAGGCGTGTTCCCCTAACACTCACTCTTCCCAGCCGATTAGAGACAGGCCAGAGTCAAGATATTCAACAGATAGGAAGGAAGAGGCGGAGGGGTGACCACTCACTCGACCCAGCAGTTGCGGCAGAGGTCAGGGTCGCACTCCCTAGAGGCAGCAAAGCAGGGGCAGAGGCGCGAGGAGCAGTGGCTCTTGGCACAGTTGCAACCTCTGAAGCGGTTCTTGCACGCCTGGGCACAGCTGGGGGTGTGAGGGAGGGAATGGAACAGAGGAAGCGTTTAGTTGAAAGGGTTTGGGATGGCTAACGAATGGGCGGAGTGGGGTTGAAGGAGCAGTGGCTCTTGGGGAAGTTGCAGCCTCTGAAGCGGTTCTTGCACGCCTGGGCACAGCTGGAGGTGGGTGGGACAGGGAAGGGCGCACATGGTAACAGGAGACAGTGGGAGGGGAGAGATGCGTGGGCTAGCCTAAGCAGCATTAAAAGGGGAAGGGTGGGTGGGGTGCGGCTAGAAGAACAGCAGAGGTTCTTGGCGAAGTTGCAGCCTCTGAAGCGGTTCTTGCATGCCTGGGCGCACCTGAAGATGTGGGGGAAGGGATGGTAAGCACACGACGCATTCGGAATGAGTGAGGAAAAAGTGGGCTGGGATTGAAGGAGCTGTGGCTCTTGGCGCAGTTGCGGCCCCTGAAGCGGTTCTTGCATGCCTGGACACAGCTGGAGGTGTGGAAAGGGACGGAAGGGGAACGGTACACGAGCCAGGTGAGGAAGCGGATTCACGGGGAGACGTGAAAGAGAACATGCGTGAAAGGAGTCGTGTTTTGAGTCGACTCAAAACATGAGTCGACTCAAAACGTCAAAGGACGGGGCGGGAGTGAGAGAGAGAGAGAGAGAAGATGCGTGAGTAGGATATAGGGGGGGTTTTAGGGGCTGAAATGCATGCTATATACTCACGTGTATGTCTGTACTAGTTCGGATTTAATACAAGGGCCGCTTAAGATGCTGCAACTGTGCCAAGGTGTGCACAGATGCGCGAAGATACAAAACAGAGAGACAGGATAGAAGGGCTAGCACGAATGAACACCCACCCGCAGTATCAAGCAAGGCTTTGATTCTTTGTCGGTGCATCGAAGGCTTTTAATAAATCTCGAAAAGCTCACCCGCAGTATTTCTCACAGAAGCACCCCCTCATGATGCATTCACAGGTGGCCTTGGCGCATGGACCCTTGCAGCTGCACGGCTCGTACTGACGCTGAGGGGAAGAAAGAGAGGGACAGAGGGAACAGGGAGCAGAGGGGGCAGGGGGGGGAGAAGGGGTGAGGCGAGAGATTGGCTGGTTGCATTCACAGGTGGCCTTGGCGCATGGGCCCTTGCAGCTGCACGGCTCGTACTGACGCTGCGGCATTTGAGCAAGAGAGGGACAGAAGGCACAGGGGGCAGAAGGGGCAGAGGGGGCAGAGGGGGCGAGAGATGGGCTGGGTGTATTCACAGGTGGCCTTGGCGCATGGACCCTTGCAGCTGCACGGCTCGTACTGACGCTGAGGGGGAGAAAGAGGGACAGAGGGCAGAGGGAGCAGAGGGGGCAGAGGGGGGAGAAGGGGCAAGAGATGGGCTGGGTGAATTTACATGTGGCCTTGGCGCATGGGCCCTTGCAGCTGCACGGCTCGTACTGACGCTGCGGCATTTGAGCAAGAGAGGGACAGAAGGCACAGGGGGCAGACGGGGCGGAGGGGGCAGAGGGGGCAGAAGGGGGCAGAAGGGGCAGAGGGGGCGAGAGATGGGCTGGGTGTATTCACACGTGGCCTTGGCACATGGAACCTTGCAACTGCATGGCTCGCACTGAGGCTGAGGGAGAGGGAAGGGCAGGGGGAAGGGGAGTGAGGGGGGGAGGGGAAGCGGGGATGGAGAGGGACAGAGATGAGTGGCTGTGGTGAGAAGATGAGTGCAACAGATGAGTGGTGAGAAGATCAGTTGCATGGACCCTATTTAATGTGATGCATTTACAGTCACAGGTGGCCTTGGCGCATGGACCCTTGCAGCTGCATGGCTCGTACTGACACTGTGCTTGCATGAAATCACTTTTGAGAATTCTCAAATGTGCTTGCACCTGCCTCCTCCTCGCATTGGCCCTCTCCCCCCTTTCCATGCCTGCCCTTCCTGCGTCCTTACCTCCTTAGACGCCTCGGCTTTCAGCCTCTGCACCACCACAGGCTGCCCAGCTCCTCCCTTCCGGCGCCCCTTGCTGTACCCCCACTGCGCCTGCACCAGCCTCCAGCATACGATGCACCTGCCTCCTGCATCCTTACCTCCTTGGATGCTTCTGCTTTCAGCCTCTGCACCACAACAGGCTGCCCCGCTGCTCCCTTCCGGCGCCCCTTGTTGTACCCCCACTGCGCCTGCACCAGCCGCCTCCTCGCCTTGGACGTGCGGCGGCGGTGCCGACCCATCTGGAGTGCGATATAAGAAACATCACAGAAAGGAAACGAAGAAGGTGGTGAATTCTTCCCAGCCATCCACACTTTCCTTTCCTGCGCCCCTTGTTGTACCCCCACTGTGCCTGCACCAGCCTCCTCCTCGCCTTGGACGTGCGCCGGCGATGGCGCCCCATCTGAATGGATCGCGTGAGAGAGAGAGGAGTGAGGGGAAGCGACGGGTGCATCAGATGAGAGGAAAGCATGCCGCCTCCTCGCCTTGGACGTGCGCCGGCGATGGCGACCCATCTGTGTGTAAATTGGAGGTGGGTGTGGGGGGGAGGAGGTGCGGGGGGGGGAGGGTTGCATCATATTACAACACACTGCCCCTGCACCAGTCGCCTCCTCGCCTTGGAAGTGCGCTGGCGATGGCGACCCATCTGAAATGGGTGGGAGGGAGGGAAGGAGGGGTGGGCGGAAGGAGGCGTGGCGTGGGGGAAAAAGGTGCATCAGAGGAAAGGAAGGAACGCAGGCACGCCTTCTCGCCTTGCCCGTGCGCCGGCGATGGCGCCCCATCTGTGTGTAAATGGGGGAGAGGGGTGTGAGTTGAAGGAGGTGTGGGGGGGAGCACTGCGCCTGCACCAGCCTCTTTCTCGCCTTGGCCGTGCGGCGGCGATGCCGACCCATCTGGAGTGTGCAATGGGGGATGGGGGTGTGGGGAGACGGAGGTGTGGGGGGACGGAGGTGTGGGGCCGGCACTGCGCCTGCACCAGGCGCCTCCTCGCCTTGGCAGTGCGCCGGCGATGCCGGAGGTGTGGGGGGGCTCAGACCGTGGTGCCCAAACACGTCTGCCTGCCAGGTGTGAGTCGACCTTGCGACCGGGAGACAGATTAGGCAGGTAGGAAGGTGATTATATACCGGCGTGGGTGTTTCTTCATGCATGTCGCCCCCCTCCTGCCCCAACAAGCAGGTGGCGATCTGGGAGCACGTCTTGAGATGGGCCAGCACTGTGCGCGCCAGCACACAGCTGCTGGCGCCGAATATCCGCACGCCCTTGCTCAGTAATTCCCTCTCCAACGGACTCCACTCCTGCTGATCGCACTGCTTCTCCGTCTCCTGCTCCTCCTGCTGCTCCCGCTGGTCCTGCTGCTTCTCCTTGTGTGACCTCACTTTCCCACCTTCATTCCCCTCCCTCCTGTCCGTTCCTTGCTTCCCTTTCATCCCTTCCCTCCCTTCCTCCTCTTTTCTCCCTTCTCCTCCCCCCTTCATCTCCTCCTCTTCCTCCATTTTCCTCACACTCTCTCCCCCTTCTAACGCCTCCTTAACCTCTCCCTTCTCCCGCTCACAACCCCCCTCCCCATCCCCGTCCCTATCCACATCGGCAGTCATATTTACATCACCAGTTTCCACCTCATCCCCCTTACAAGCCTCCCCATCACTCGCATCACCCTCCTCTTCCGAGCTAATCTCCAACACCGAGGGGCTACATTCTCTTTCCCGCTTCCCCCTCTCACCCTCCTCCTTTTCCCCATTCCCTCTCCTCCTCTCACCTCCTTCTCCCTCACGCCATCTCACTCCTCTTCCCCTTCCACTTCCTCCTCTCCCCGCCCTCCCACGTCCGCGGCCCCTACCTCTTCCGCTCCCCTTCTTACCACCTCTCCCCACGCCCTGGCTACTTCCCTCCCCACCTCCTTCCCCTGTGTATACCCTTCCTTTAAAACGCGCATCCTCCTTTCCCTCTTCCTCCTTTCCCTCCTCTTGTTCCTCCTCTTCCTCCTCCCCCATCTCCTCTTCCTTCACACTCCTTCCCTCCTTGCCTCCCTCCTTCTCCACCTCTTCACCCTCCTCCTCCTCCGTTGTCTCCTCTTCTTCTTCCCCATTCTCCTCCTCTCTTTCCTCCTCCTCATCCTCCTCCTCACTCTCCTCCCCAACACTGTCTGATAGTTCAACCTCCTCCTCCTCCACTTCCTCCTCTTCCTCCTCCTCATCCTCCAGTTTCACGAAACCAACAATCTGCTTCCCCTTTTTCTTGCCTTTTGCCTTGGTTTTCGCTGCTTTCTCCTCTGCTGCTTGCATTCGAGCCAGCTTCAGAGCCACAAGAGAAGGAACCTGCAAGGCAAAAGCCAAAGCCAAGGAAACGGGTGGAAACAAGATGAGCATAGCTCACCCATCTGCTAGTCCTAATGCCTGCCCTTCGCCTTTGTTTTTGCTGCTTTCTCCTCTGCTGCTTGCGTTCGAGCCAGCTTCCATGCCACAAGTAGTGAGGTGATTTCTTAGGGGCTTGAAAAATCATTCGAGCCAGCTTCCATGCCACAAGTAGTGAGGTGATTTCTTAGGGGCTTGAAAAATCATTCGAGCCAGCTTCAATGCCACAAGAGAAGGAACCTGAAGGCCAAGGTAAAAGGGTAAGAGCGGAGGGACGGATACAGGGTCCCTTCCCTGCCCTACTGATTGCCTTTTTCCCTTCGTTTATGCTGTTCTTTCCTCTCCTTTGCTGCTTACAGGTGAGTCAGTTTCAGCGCCACAAGAGAAGGAACCTGCTTGAATTCGAATTTCAAGCCCATCTCAGCGCCAAACGGGAAACCTCCAGCAATATACCCATCCATACTTTCTGCTTTTCAATGGTAAAAAACAGAAAGAAAGAAAGAAAGAAAGAAAGAAAGGAAAAAAAAAAAAAAAAAAGGTCAGTTACTCACGTGCATGAAGCACAAGGGCCCGCAAGGCCCAGCAGGCATGGGTGACTTGGCCACGTCAGTCGACTCCAAGGGGGGTTGCTGATCCGTCTGCAGAGGGGAGGAGTGGGAAAGAGCGGAGGGGGGAAGAAAGGAGGGGGGGGGGGGGAGGCGGAAGGAGGGAGAAGAAATGCAGAGGGCGCAGCAGAGTGCATGCCTCAAGACCTTTGGCATGGCGTGAGAAAGGCCCTGGCCTGTTGTCGACTCGACCCCAACGCAGGTAGCTAGCAGGCGGTGAGGAGAGGAAGATGAAAAGAACAAAGTGGCATCAGTGGAGAAACTGACTCACCAGCAACACAACTTTTTTTTTAACCTTTTTTTTTTATTATTATTATTATGGCTACCGGTAAGGTGACCACAAAATTTGAGTTTGAATCGGCTCACCGGCACCACTGGCTCGTCGACGGTTCCATGCGTTTTGCAATCAAAGATCTGCACGAGAAAGGTGGAAGGAAGGGGAAGAGGAACGAGGAGGGAATTTTGGACGTGCCTCAAAGCTCGTCGACGGTTCCGTGCGCTTTGCAATCAAAGATCTGCATGAGAGAGGTGGAAGGAAGTTGGAGTGGGAGGGGAAGGAAGCATGGTGGGTGGACCGTGGACTCAGAAGAAGCATGTTCATTTCATGTGTCGTACAACTGAATGCTTTCATAAGAGAGTGCGAGGGAGGAGAAAGGAGAACGAGGGGAGGAGTTGGGGGAGGGAGTGGTGGGGGTTGGGTAGGAAGGAAGGAGAGCATATAACGGGGGAATACGCGGGCTTGGATTGGACTGGGCACTCACTTCCCCACTCACTCCCTCCCTCACTCACTCACTCTCTCCCTCACTCACTCTCTCCCTCACTCACTCTCTCACTCACGAGGCATCGGCGGCAGAAGAGGTGGTCCCACGAGTCCATGGCTCCCTCCAGATCCTCAAACTGCCCCAGGAGCACCCGCCGTGTGCTCTCACTCACTCTCTCCCTCTCTCACTCACTCACTCCTTCACTCCCTCCCTCACTCACAATCTCTCACTTACGAGGCATCGGCGGCAGAAGAGGTGGTCCCACGAGTCCATGGCTCCCTCCAGATCCTCAAACTGCCCCAGCAGCACCTGCGTCGTGCCCTCACACACACCACCCGAGCCTTACTCACACCCGAGCCTGACACCACCTGAACCTGACCCAGATGTTTCGTTCGCATTAGCATTAGCATCAGCGGCAGTAGAATCAGCAGCAGCAACACCGGCAGAAGTTGCAGCAGAGATTGGAGCAGCAGTGTCAGCAAGCGAAGAAGTACCAGCAGCAGAGGATCCCAGACAACCCATGTTTGTGTCTTGGCCTGGGGTAGCAGCAGCACCAGCATCACTGGCAGCACCAGCTGTGCCAGCAGCACTGGTAGCAGGCACAGCACTTGCAGTACCAACGTTCTCTGAAGCAGCAGCTACAGCAGAATCAGAAGCACCACAAAATGAAGTATCATTAGCAACAGCATACGATGTAGCCACGCCTGCTGCTCCTGCTCCTGCTCCTGCTGCTGCTGCTGCAGCTGCTTCGGCTGGTTCGCCTGTCGCTGAGATCGACAGCCTTTCAACTGCTGCCAGCAACACTGGTCTTCCTACCGCATCCGGAGTTGATCGCTCGCCCCCATCTACTTGCATAGGACAAGCACCCTTTCCCCCATCCACTTGCATTCGACTCGATCCCTCACCCCCTTCCACTT